ACCTTTTTGCATGTTTGATTGCCCAAAATTTTCATGAAATTGTTTTCCATCTTTCACTCATGTGCTCACATTTTCTTAGTTTTTTAGGAGAGGCAACTTTTTTTAAAAAAAAAAAATTAGTATTTTTTGGCAATAGAAATAAATTATATCCCCAATTGTAACAAATTATATCCATTTAATGAACAATTTTCATGAAAAATAAAGCCAAACGAATACCAAAAGATCCAAAAATTCAATATTTTTCAGGTAAAAAATTATCAAACACAATTAATTGACAATTCTCAATAAAACAAGTTCTAAATAATTTAATTCCCTAAAATTCATTTTATTTCCACTCAAATTCCATTCTTACAATCAAATGGGCCCTTGGTTCAAAATAATGTAATCACCCAATATATTAAGCCCCTTGTTTGAGCCCTATTATTTAAAACTCTTTTTTTTTTCGACACATTTTTTAAATAAACTAAAGGCTCTTTTAACATGGCTAATGGCTTTTGAAAAAATCAAAAGAAGTTTCTGAAATCGAAGAGTTGCTTTTGAACCCATTTAATTAATTTTATGAAAGTACTTCTAATAATTAGAAGAGTTTTTGGAAGAAACTGATTTAATGTGATTTCTTTTAAATGCACTTCCGAAATAAGAAGTGTTTTTAAAAATTAGTTTAAAAAAAAAAAATTAAAGTAACTTCCTACCAAAACTCTTCCACGGGAAGTAAAAGTTAAGCAAAAAATATGGTTAATTAGCTCTTGCTTGAGCCCATTTTTTCAAAAAATCATTTTTTTCAAAATTCATTTTCAATTATACATTTTTCAATAAATTAATTTTACACGTAAATAAAAAAAAAATCTTACTTTTTAATTATAAATTCTACAAAAAATCATTATTCGGCTCAGACAATTCTTCTCTAAATTTTCCATTTTGGCGCCAGCAAATGGAAGATATCAGGTGGGGTCAGTTGCAAGTTGTAGAGAATCGATGACCGTCAAATCCAAATCGCCGGCATGAGTTTGGACAGCAAGGAAAGAGTTGTACTAGAAATATGAGAATGACGTTTGGGTAGAATAATAAATTCAGCACTCTCTTTCGGCGCCAATTAGGGAATTAGGGTTTAGGAAAACTCGGTGCTTTACACCGTTCCCCATGGGAAAGAATAGAGTTTTTTTTTTTTTTCTTTTTATTGAAAGAATATTTCGACTTGAACGTTACGGGTGCATATCAAAATCACAAATTGTTCATAATAAATTATTATTCAATCCATTTAATATAGGAAGTTCACGTCCACGAGGAAAAAGGCGGGAATGCAATAAGCGTCTGACGCTGGCGAGGAAAATGACTGGCCTGGCCGTAATAAAAGGCAAGAGCAAGAGGAAAATGACGGAGCGCCGTTAATGTAGACGGGAAGAAAAGTTTGGCCGATCCAATATGCAGAGTTCTGTCTCCAATTTCGCAAGGAAAATGACTAATTAAAGTCTCATTAAAAAAATTGATACAAATTTAAATCAAAATCAACCATTAGTCCCCGTTTGATTTATATTATTATCTCATTAAAATGAAAAATATGACTGTTATTCATCATATCAACGTTTAAATTCAAATTTTCTATCTCTTATGTGGACCCCAATAATTAACGACTATATTTTCATTC